GGGGGGTCCACCTAAGCTATAACCAAAACTGAGGATATCTTTTCTGTAATCTCTAGCGAGGCTTACATTATCCAGTAGCCCCCATCAAAATACAGTGGCCTTTCGTTTTCTTGCCAGTAGCCTTTTTAGAACCTCGCAAGGATGGCCCACGAAAGGAATTGCCTTGACAACTGCGACACTGCATCTAATGAACAAGCACTGAGGCTAATTATGATTGATGTCTATGGGTGGTTGTCAAAATTAGGGTCCCTTTTTGAGTACCCTAAATATTAGGCGCTGTAAGATAATGGGGACCTAAAACGGGACCATCATTTTGACAACCACCCATCTGAATTTTCACAATGTGGCGTTTTCCGTCTTTCTGTCTGGTCTTAATTTTTTCAGGGATGGAGACACAGCAACTGCTACTTGGAGGCAAAGCCACATGGTCTCATCCACGTGCTGCTGGTTCTTCTCCTCACGGGAACCCTTGCGTTGGAACCACTGTTTCGGACTGGAAGACACGGCTGTCACATGGGCCGCCATGGCTGGCCAGCGGGCTGTGGTACCCTCTGCAGCGAAAAGCACGTGAGAGCGCTGGAGTTAGAGGCCTGAGCCTGACAACCCAGCAGCCAAACAGTGGCAGAAGAGCAGAGGTGCTTTCATGTGAATGGAAAAGAAAATGGAAACTACTCTATTACATAGGGGGAATTTTGGGGATATATTGGGATAATGGAAAACAAAATGGAAACTACTAAGGGTTCAGGGTTTAGCGTTTGGGGATTACTGGGCGAAAAAGATGCACAGCAACGTGTAGTGTAGTCTCCACGCATCATGAACCTGCCGCCCGTCCTAGTCAGAAATACCTGCCAACATCTAACTGCATAGTTGTACAAGTTATATTGGAGGTGAGGGGCTGATCATTCACAGACTATGGGGCTTATCTTAGGGTTATATGGGGGTTATATTGGGGTTTTCTTGGGGATGATGGAAAATAACATGGAAATCACTTTACATTTAATATGACAAGGTCTATATAGGTGCAGTTTAAGGACCGCGGCAAGCCAACTGAGGCCTCTCGGCATCGTCTCGCAAGGAGTTTGCCGAAGCCTCCAGCCATTCAGAGTAACACCACAAGGCCGAAGCAAGGGATAGGAACAACAAAACCCAAAGGGTCCAAGTACCCAATAATTAGGTAACTACTTGGGTTTTGGGTAGTAGTAATTATTGTACAGGTTTTGGGTAAGTATATGATTATTAGGTACTTGGACCCTTAAGGAAAATGAAAAAAGGAGTGCTAGCACCGCCACAAGACGGAAAACGCTGCAGCAAAATTGCAGTTCAGGCAATAGCCGCAACCTTAAACTGGCGACGACTACTCACAGCAGCACATAGCCTAGGACCAATGGTGGGAAGCTCCATCAGGGTACTTGGAGTGTCAGGGGAATTAGTAAGTATACGTAAAAATCCGGAAGCCCTGTAATCACTCCATATATCCCAACTACTAACATACTTACTAAGTCCCGCTGACCCTTCACGTATGCTTCAGTGTAGGGCGAGCCCCCTGTCCTGAAGACTGTGGCGGCCTTTTCAGGTTTGATGGAGGGCCTGTCGTCATGGCCGTTGACGTGTCAAAATCATTTTCCAAGACTATAGCGGTCCAGAATCTCAGTGCAATTCCTGTATAACCCCTGCAAATGCCCGACAATCCTTCCATTGGAAGATTGCCTCGTGTTGTTCCCAGCAAGTGTGCGCAATTACCTGTTTAAGAATACCTGTTTAAGGGGCTGTCCGTGCTTGGGGCAAAACCTAACCTGCACACAATGGATAGTCATTATCGCAAAGGACCACCTAGAATTTAACAGTTACCCCTGGCTTGTTGGACACCATCTGCCTATGTATCCCTGTCTTCCCAAATGCCCCAGTAAATATATACATATATCTCTGTCTATGCGTGTATACATACACGTGTCTCTCAATTTGCTCATCCTTCTTTGTTTCTATCTCTCTCTCTCTCTCTCTCTCTCTCTCTTTCTATCCCTTGTTTCTCCCTAGAATCCGCTCTAAAGTGAAAGGGGACCCGGTTTCGTTGTGGATGGAAACCTGCGCAGAACATCCCTGATCCGCCTGAGCAGCACTTGGAGCCAGCTCCGTACAGCCTGCAGGACCTTGGGACTTAGGTGAAGGATTTAGGGTTCAGGGTTTAGAATTTGGAGATTAGGGCGTGGGGCTTAGTGTTTGGGATTCAGGGGCAATTGCCATTATGACCTTCAAAGAAAGAATAAGCATCGATCAGGTTATAGAAGCTAATACGACTATAACATTGGTACCGGTACAGACGGCTCCAAGGTTGAAGATTACCTTGATGTGAACAACGCCAACAACCGAAAAGAACAAAACACAAAAACAACAGTTAAGACCGCCATGTTGGACAAGTGGGCTTGCAGCACAAGGGCTCAACTTCTAAAACCCTAAACCTAAATCCCAAATCCTCAGCCCTAAGCCCCAAATCCTAAACCCTAAATCCTAAACCGCAAACCCGAAATCCTACGCCCTAAATGGCGCCCAACATCCCCAAACATCCCAAAGTCAACGAGACCACTGGCGCCAGGAGCCCCCGCAACAGGGTTCGATTGAAGGGGGCTTCTAACTGACACTGCAACTACAACTGTGCTTCAGGGTTAGGGTGTAGGGGTTTGCTACGACTACTACCACTACAATTCCTACTACTGTTACGAGTACTGCTACTAGAGCTTTATAATCTGTACTAGTAATACTACTGTTGCTATTACACACTGTTATTCCCTTGAATTCTCGCATGCGTCACAGGGCTACCATGCGCCCCCCAAAATGAGCCTGAATTTATGGGGGCCCATAGTGGCCCCACGAGTGCCCTTTTTTAGCTTTAACCCCTAAATCTGGTGCCCTAACCCTAAACCATCAACCCCTAAACCCAATGCTCTCCCGAGCCCTACATGCTTAGGCCGTATAAATCCCTCCGTAGTTACTGCTCCTACAGATCCTTGTATGAGCTGTAGTCTAAACCCCTGGTATCCCACTTAATAACCCCTGTAGTAGTCCCGTATATATAATCCCCTATCTGAAGCCTTTATAGGAATTTCGATGCTGGCTAACCTAAACCCTACTCTCCCTTAAGTAGATAGAATATGGCTTTGGGTATATTATAATAAGATCCCCATTTTCCCCATATTCGGGGACTATGAATTCTCTTTACAGCTATGTCCCGGGCCTTGCCCGGCGAGCAGCGCCATCTCAGCCACTGATCTACACGAGCCATGTCACATGGCGCCTTCAAGAGACCTCTAACTGGGTTATAGGCATTGCGGGGATATATGCATCTACGTAGTGGGATATCATACAGGAATGTGGGTCTAGGGATCAGGGTTTCGGGCTTAAAGGGATGTAAAGGGATATAAACTACGTGAGCATTGACAAGGTGTAGGGGTTTAGGCTTCATGGCTGTGGGTTTCACATGTTGGAGTTCCTATCACTGTTGAAGATTTCAAGATTGTTCTGTGAAACGGCGACCTTGCTTTCGCCTCTCACTTTGACACATTTTCAGGTAGACCGGACACATTTCCTGCCCATGCATGCAGATTTGCAGTTAGGACAAAGTTGGCTGAGCGTGTGCGCCAGGAGTGCAGTCTGCGTTGTCTGCGATTTCTGTGTAAGCTGCCTGGCATCTCCAGACTAAGCTTGAGGAGCTCTTTACCAGAAGCCATCGCATAGAACGTCAAAGCAGGTGGACACTCCTTGGGGCGGCACCCCTGAACCCTTGAACCCCAAACCCTAAACCTTAGGCTTTTGGGAGCTTCTCTTTGAAGGTCCAAAGGATATGTGGGCATGGGATTGTGGCGGTAGCTGCCAGGCATGATAACATGTTCTAGGATCTAGTGCTTAGGGAAAAACATTCCTTTTCCAGAAATGCTTGGACGAAAAGTTTGCTCCATCATCTGGAAAAAAAGCTTTCGGAAGACTACTAGGCATGTACCAGTGGGAGCAGACGCAGTACTGGCTACCAAACGTTCTTATAGTGACTGTGAAGACAAATATGTTCGCAACAAGTATTGATGAGACCAAAAACAACCAAAATGGCTATGATACTTCAAGCAGCAGCGGCGACTGAGTGCTGCCATTGCGAGTCCACCTCCAACTGGTATCATATGCCCTGCAGCGCAACAAACCTATTCAGCTACATGCACCCTGACCCGTCTACGATTGGTTAAGAAATAGGTCATGAGGGTCCGTGCTTTGATTTGTAAAAGGTGAGTTTTGGGTGGCTCCAACCCAACCCTCCCTAACGAATGCAAACAGGCAACCCCCCCATTATCCCCTAGCTTCCCCAAGGTAGGTACCGGGGCGGAGGGGGGGGGGGTGATTTTGGAGCGCAAATTTTAAGGTTCCTACGTAGGGTATATAGAGGCTCCAAGAAAGGGTCAACCACGTAGTTTTCGAATGAGGGCGCCTCGTGAATGCCACGCAGGCCTTGGCTTCGCGATCACCGCAAACATGTCGGACACCACACTTTAGGGTTTAGGGTTTAGGGTTGGGGGATTTTGGGGATCAAACGGTCTAGGCTCATCCAAGGTTACTATTATCGTTCAGTCATAACAGGGTCGAGACTTTTGGATGATGCACTGTAGCAATAGGTTTGGGGTTTAGGGTAGCAGTACTGTAGCAACCCGAATGCTTACAAACATTCTTCCCACATAACCCTTCATGCGAATCTTATAGTGAAATGTACCGTGAAACCGTGTTGATAATACTGACGCTGCATTACTTTGGCCTTGCTCTTTGAAGACATCACTTTGTAGAGCGTCTCTCTACGTTTACAGTTGCAGCCCGGCAAAGTGATGTGAACGTCTTTGCAGAAGGTACAGTAGGATGGTACTGTAGGCTTTCCTGAGCTAAGTGCTGATAGTAATAGTAATAATAAGAAGATTACTGGCAGTAATGGTAATAATAAACAATAAGCAATAGTACATAGTTGATACTAAGTATAATTCATAACAGTACTAATTAGTAGCAATTAAAACTGCAGAGTTTCTGAGCAACCTTTTCGACAGTGGGTGCTGTAGGTTGCTGCCTTCCCCGTTTCATGGCTGGGCAGGTGGTATAGGGGTTTAGGGCTTAGGAGGGGTCCCATAATAAGGATGATAGTAATAACATTTGGGGGTTTAGGGGTTTAGGGTTTAGGAAGGGCCCCATAATAAGGATGATAGTAAATCGCTTTTTGTGGTCTGTAGTGGGGTCCCCCTATCCATGGAAACTACCAGACGACCGCCAAGTAGAGCCCGACGGCCCGACGAGACAGTTGCTAGTGCCACGCGAATGAGGTGGTCTACAAAGTCATACCCCCTAAAACCCTCAGCCCTAAACCATGAACCCACCATGTACGGATTCCGCCTATACGGCATGTGCGGGAGGTACCTCTGCGGTCCTCGTTTGGGTAATTAGATTGCACAATTTGGAGCAACTAGGTTGCACTTCTCATATGCCCTAAACCCCAAATATTGAAATGCTGT